GGAACCCTTCTTCATTGTTGGTGGGATTGCAGGCTGGTGCAACCGCTGTGGAAATCAATGTGGATATACCTTAAACAACTAGGATTGGAAGTCCCATTTGACCAAGTTATTCAAAAAAATTAAAAAAGAATCATACCACAATGATATATGCTCATTCATGAGTATATCGGCAAAGTTTGTAATAGCTAAAACTTGGAAACAGCCCACTTGCCCATCAACTGGAGACTGGATAAAGATGTGTGTGTGTGTGAGTGTGTGAGTTTAATAAAATGGAGTACTACTTAGCCATAAAGAAAGAAAAACTAGACAGTCATAGCTAAATGGATGCACACTGAGGGCATACTCTTAAGTAAAATTAATAGGACACACATGTGTAAATACTGAATAGTTTCTCTGGTGTGATAAACTAAAAATGTAAATAAGTGTCAAAATGTATAATTGATATGTGTAATAGGAAGAAAAGGTCTAAAGGTGTTAGGCAAATGGGAAGGGTAGGTGAAAGGTAAAAAGGGAAGAGACAAAATAAGAGAAGAGGAAAAATGGACACAGTCTTTGTAAATAGGGAACGGTGGAGGGGTAAAGGGAGGGTGGGGTAGGGGGGAAAATAAGAACCAACATGCGTCATGTAAAGGAATAAGATTCCAGTGATGAATATAACTGTATTGTATATCTAGAATGTACCAATAAAAGTATATATAAATGTTACTTACAAATAAGGTCACATTCACAGTTCCTGGATTTAGGACTTGAACACGTGTCTTGGGGAGATACAGTTCAATGCAAACCATACATCTTATATGATCTGCCTAATACTTCTTTAAGATATTATTATTATCCCTATTTCACAGATAAGGCAACTAAGGCTTCAAGAAGACAAATAGCTTATCCCAGGTCACAATGACAAGAAGGGGCAGAGCCAAGATTTCAGAGTCAGGTTGGCTGACTTCAGAGTGTCATTACCTAACAATTATATGAAACTTACTCCATGTAGCAAAGAGTTTAAGAAGTTAAATCAGCTAAGAGATTTTAAACAATAACACCACGACCACCAAAATACTCGTTCCTATCTTGTATGCGGTTCCTCATACCCACGCACACACAATCATAATTGTCCCACCACCCAGGAACAGAGCATATTTTTTTCTGGCATGCTATGTTTAATCCACCAGTATAAGTATCTACTGATTGTATTTGGTAAATCAGAATTTTAGCTCATGTACATTCTCTTTCCTTCACTTTATTATCCCAGTGTAATTATGTATCAATTACTGGTTACATCCATATTAGGAGTTTGCATTGTTAGAACTATGCAAGTATTACTCACTGGTGATTCATGTTGTATTTATAAATATGCTCCTTTTTATACTTTCTTACCATATTGTTTATATTTAGAATCATTTTGCTACTTTTACAGTTTTCTCTAATTACTTCCCTCCTCCTGTATGCTTTAACTACTCTGAAAAGATCTTCAATATAATTTTACAAGTGAGCAAGCCCGTGAGATCATATACGCTTTCGGTGTTTCCCCTGCAGGCATCTGTTCCAGAACTTCCTGCTCCAATCTGGGATCATTGTGGTATTGCTGCAAGTCTTTTCCCTGAAACTGCTTCTCTTCAGTGTTATGTCTGGAAATTTTCCTTCTCTTTTGTTGGAATTTTGTTTCCTGGGTGCTGTATGTTTTGTTTGTTTTTGACCTTATTAGAAGCATTTCTAAAAAGAACTCTCAACATAAAATACTTTAGATCACATATATCTAAAAGCGTCCACTATACATTACTTCATTACCTTTCATTGGCTCTTGGCTACATATAGAAGTCTACATTTGAAATCATTTAGATTTTTAAAGGCATTACTCCAAAATCTTCTGGATTCCAATTTGCTGCTGAGTCAAATGGTATGCTGATTCCCAACAGTGAATAAATCACTTTATTCTTTAAAAAGATTTCAGTCTTCTCCTTTTTAACTGCCATGGTGTGGACCTCCTTTTATCCATGTTATTGTGTATTTGTTAGGCCTTTTTACAGTGGAGATCCATGTCTTACAGTTCATATATTTCCTCAGCTTGGTTTTCAACCTTTATATTGATTTTTGTTTTATATACCATATTACTGATCCACAGAACTTTTTCATTGTTTAATGTTTTGTTTTAATGAAATTCTACCTTTATTTAATGATTAATATTTTATCTCTTTGAGAACATTAACAGTTTCTTTAAAGTCTTCTTTGGGGAAAGAAATGGTTAACACAGCTATGTGAAGATGACTCTTGAGTTAACTTTCATCCAGCACCATTGACCAAAAGGTATACCTGACTGAAAAAGAATGCTAAGAGAAATCCCAGCTTTTAAATTAAGAATACACTTACTAAAATATACATCACTTATCTAGTAAACATGTCTGAAATATAAAACTGTGAATAAATTATAAAAATCTGGGGTCCAGGATTTAGCTCAGTGGTGCTGCCACCTGCCTTGCAAGCACAAGATCCTGAGTTCAATCCCTGGTACCAAAAACAAAACAAAACAAAACAAAAAACTGGGGATTAGACGCATAACTAGGTGGTAGAGTGCTTGCCTAACATGCACAAGGCTCTGGGTCTGATCTGTAGCCCTGCAAAGAAATAAAAATTTTGAGAAATATTTGCACACACAAACCATAGCTGTCTTATAGAGTATCTCTTGAAATGACTTGGAGGCTTATGCCCACATGCATTATAAAAATGGTTCCTATTGTGTATTTTATGCTATGTGACTTTGTCACTTCCAATTGTGTGTATTCTTTGTGGGGTTGGGAAAGAGCACTTGGTTGGTTGTAAGGACTCTCAGTTATCCATCTGATAATGTTATGCTGGTATACTGACATGCTGTTTTCTGTCCTAATTCTATACATTTAAGTAAAACTGATACCAAGTAATGGACTATATTAACCTGTGTGAATCTACATTCAAACCTGAAACACCTATTAATAATGGTCATTCTCAAAAGAGCTCTAACTTGTTGGTTTTAGCTTTTGTTTTATTCATTCACCCATTCACTTGTTTATTGCACTAGATTTGGTCTCTGTCTTTCAAATCACAAGAGCTTAAATGTTTGAGTCCCAGGTTGGTCATTTATATTTAGCAATGAGGCAATGAAATAACTGACTTGTCTCTATTTGCAAGGATTGGGCATAGAATGTGGTGGGCTTCCATGTGAGGCAATTTTAGACCCAGTCAGCCAGTCAGCTGTGTTTTTTGTAAGAATTCTCCAAATCTCTGTGAGTCTTTTCTCTGTCATTCTACAGTAGAGAAGGGTAGGGAAGGTATAGTGTTGCTAATAGGAATGACAATGTCAGTTTCATTATTCAACATATTTTTTTCACTTAATTCCTCTGTGTCCAGTGTCTCTTACTATCCTGCTGAATGTAAAGGTCTCTAAGTTCAAAGTCTTTCTAATTCTGTATCTCTAGTGAATATACCTGTTGTCTCTTGTGGAGAGAGAACTCATCTGACTATATGTGGTAGTAACAATCTAGGGATCTACCTTCTCCTGATACATATTTTAACATTATCTCTATTGTCAACTGTCTGGATCACCATGGTGTTTTGTGGTACATGATATCTCTGATTCTTGAGCTTTTTCATGGTTCTATGGAGAAAATAGTTTTGTCTCTTTGTCAATGTCAAAGGAAAAACAGAAGTAGCAAAACAAAAAGCAATTATGATTCTTAGGCTGAAGGACAGTAAAAAGAAGAAATTAAGAATTCAGAAAAAGGTCTTCCACCACTCCTCAAATATGTGATTCAGAGCTCTCCAGAGAGGAAGTGGCTGCTACAGGAACATGCAAAAGAAGGGTGTTGAAAAAATTCTGCCAAAAGAACCAGGCAGGAGCAGGACCACTGAGAACTGCTGGGAAGATTCGTTACTAGGCTTTCTGCATGCTTATCTGCTCATTTCTAGACACAGGAACAAGAAAAGGAGGCCCTTGCTCCTGCTATACCTGTGCAGTGTCCCTTAGACCCTTCTATTGATAAAGCTTGACAACAGGCCATCTGGCAAAGGTAAACTGTTGATAGGATTCACCTCCTTTGTAAGGCAAAGCACAAAACACGAATTTGGAGCTAAAACTGATTATTGGTACACTTCTCATTGATACATCTCATTTTCTACAGACATTTAGGTTTGACCTTCTTCCCCTCATTTAAGTCATTCATCATGAACTCTCTAAATACTGTAAAGCTTGAAGCTATAAATTGCTTCCTTGTTTCCCCACAGGCAATGCTTACAGTTTTGTGCTCCTTACTGTTTTGGGGTGATTAACAAAAGAATAAAGAATGATAATATCTTAATTCGACCATCTAGAAATCCTCTCATGTTTCATTTTAAAACTACTCACTGCAATGTGATGCTCTGCAGAGCCAAGATAGTCTCTAATTCATGCCTATCTCCCTCAGTGTCACCATGTTACAGAGCTCCATGCAGCCTGGTTAAATTAAATAAAATGTGCTTTTAAAAATAATTTTATAAAATTCACAATTGGTTTAATTATTTTTATAGCCATACATGAAGCACCTGACTCCCAACAAGCTGTCTCAAATCTATAGAGTTTCTTAAAATAAGGAATAAGCAAAGTCCTTTACAAATCCACGTAAGCTCAGTTTAAGTCCTACAAGCCAATTAACTTAGTCGCTGCATAAATATATTTGCATTAAATAAGAACTTTTCATTTTATGCCAGGTGTGGTTGCGCACACCTGTAATCCCAGCACTCAGGAGGCTGAGGCAGGAGGATCGCTGTGAGTTCGAGACTAGCCTGGGCTATATAGTGAGTTCCAGGTCAGTCTCAACTACATAATGAGACCCTGTCTCAAAAAATAAAAAAATAAAAATTAAAAAAAGAACTTTCATTTTATTAATTTTTTTAATGAGCGTATTACTCTATTGCCTTAGCTACATGTCATATGAACATTTTTCTGTGCGTGTCTTCCAAAATATACCAATTTATTTTCAAATGTCTGTACTTACCAAGTCAGGGATGTCTTTTACTTTGAGAGGAACTTGGATTAAACCCAAATGAGTCCTAAAACTAAGAGAATCACCATTTTCATAATTTGGGTTGCGAAGATTAATTAATACCTTTAAAAACAAACCCAATAAAATTGGTTAGTTTCTTTATCAGATGTTTATACTTGTCAGTGATATTTTTGGAATATCATCACAAAATTCAAATTTAGTATTATGCATATACTTCAATTACATGCTAAAATAGTAAACTATTGTATTGAAATATCAAATATAAATATGCTTTTAATATTCTAATTGATGAGCCATCATAAAAATTCTCTTAAAAAGTTAAGATTTAGTTAGAAATGAAAATTTTGGTAATTAAAGAAAATAAAAATTGCTTGATTATATTTCACCAAGGAAGGTGTCAGAAAAAGTAATTGCTTGATTGTAATATTTAATCAGGGAAATTTTTACAACTCAGACTCTAAAAAAATGGAAATTAACATGGTTTTAGGAAAGATGGTGGAGCAATACTTCAGGGTATCACCTCTAAACCAAACCCAAAAGAAGAAAGAATGAGAGAGAGAGATGAAGAAAAAATTTAGAAAGAGAATTAACAAAAAATACCACTATGCAAGTTTACAAAAATAATCAGATAAAAATAATCTCAGATATCTGTATATCCTTTAATTTAGAAATTTCACTTTAAAAGTCTGAACATTTTTTCTAAAATTATAAAAATTGTTGAAATATAAAAATCAATTCTATTTATTTTTAATAAGAGATTTAGCAGAGAACAACAAGATCAAATGTATATTAATATAGAATAGCATAACATAGTCGAATTACATAAATAAAGGATCGTACTCCATGGGCAAATCACAAACACAGAAAATAGAAAACAAAGGAGAAACTGACTACACAGATAACAACAAAGAGAAAATATTAGTTATACACAAATCATAACTATGCAAATAATTATAGAAAATGTTCCTGCATTAAAGGAAAGGGTCTCAACAGTCCCAATGTGCACAGAATGTTACAAATCACTAAGGAGAAAATGAGGCAGGAGAACAGGGCAAGAAGGGAATTGGGGGAAAATGATTAAAGCATGTTATGTGCACCTACAAATCTGCCAAAATGAAACCCGTTACTCTGTGTAACCAACATGCACAAATAAAAACGATGTGAAGAATAAAAGAAAATATTCAAAAATCAAATTCTACCAAAAAAGGAGTAAACATGATAATCATGTAAATACCACATGAAATTTCAGCCCATTAGTGCTAGAGAAGAAATAAGTTTGTAAGAAATTTTTAATAAGTTAAGGTAAATAAAACCATTACCATAAAAGTAATTTCTTACTAAACTAATTTCTCTTAAATTTTTTTAATTAAAAAAAATAAACTAGCTGGGGACTTAGCTCAGTGGTTCCACCACAAAGGTCCAGAGTTTGATCCCTGGTACAAAAAAAATTTTTTTTAAACTATTTTTTACAACTCCAAAAGGCCTGAAATAATTTATAAAGAAAAATTCATGCCAACAAAACTGCTATCAGAGAAAACAGGTTCAGATAATGAGGTGGAGTCAGGAGAATTGAAAGTTAGAGCCCAGCCTGGGCTACTCAGTAAGGCCCTACATCAAAATACACTTGATCTTAGCCAAAAGGCCAAGAAGTGATGCTCAAAATAAAAAATAAAAAGACCTGGGCATATAATTCAGTGTCTTTGAGTTTGATCCCTATGAGTTTGATCTCACCCTAGTATGAGACAAAGAATGAATGAATGTGAATGAGGGACCCTTATTCACTGAATAAATATTAACTACTGAGTATGTGCTGGTTAAAGACGTGACTAAAAGCAAGGACACTAACATAGCCAAAGTAGAACAAATCAAGAGAAAAAGTAACACGAATGAACTCAGGGAGGTATTTGATCTGGAGTCTCAGATCAAATAGATATTTTGAAACAGGGTCATGTCTTTGGCTTTTAAGAATGAGACAGAAATCACTGGGTAACAGAGGAGTGGTTTGTACTGAATTACATTTAAAGTCTCCTTCTGAAGTTGTAACTAAGCATAGAATCTAGGTGAAAAATGGTAGAAGTAGGAAGGCCAGTTAAAAGGGTACTACTTCCCCTTTTTGGGAAGAACAAAAAGGGAAAAGAAAAAAATGTGAGAGAATGAAAAGATGAAAATAAAGTGTTTGTAGATGGGGAGGGGAGGAGGGGGTGAAGGGAGGGCAGAGGTAAGGGGAAAAAATGAGAATCAAGACTTGTCATGTAGAGGTACAAGATCCCAACAATGAATGTAACTGTACTGTATCCCTAAATTGTACCAATAAACTCAATTAAAGCTGAA